GGCTGGCAGAATGCGCCAGGACCTGCAAGTGCTTCTCAGCCCTTCTCTTGTGGGGAAAACCACACTCAGACATCATTGTTGGCTAGTTTCTCATCTCTATGAGGTACTTAAAGTCTCCTTCTTTGCACTGCATCACCTGTTTCCTGCAGCCTGGCAAAAAGCGCTCTAATGACAGTCAAAGACCAAAAAGACTTCAAGAGCCATTATGATAAAGAGTGGAGTTTTAAGATGGAGGAACAAAGGGACAATCTTTTAGCAAATACTGTTGTCTTTCCTCCCTTCCCTTCCATGTCGCCTAAAAGGAAGACTCCAGCTCTTGAAAAGCTGACAAGACCAGGGTGGGGTTGAAGGGAAAAGAGGCTTCCAGTGGGTAATTTGACATTTCTGTTCTTCAGTGACTCCTTTCCAAACAAGGAAGTAAGATCTAGATTGTCAAGACCAAAGCTTGGGCATATATGAAAAAAGCTGTAAGAATGAGGCTACAGTCAAGAGTGGGACTTTTAGTTCCATACTGTAGAAAACCCAAACCAAACTGGCTTAAACAGAAGAAACTCATATTATTAGTAGCCCATAATACTGAAAATTTCAGAAGTATTCCAGATACAAGTAGATGCTTTCATCTCCATCTCTGTTCCTTATTCCTCAGGGTTAGCAGTTTTCAACCTCTATAATAGCTTCAGGCTCATAAAATCTTTACTACTCGGCTCTTATTTCCCAAGATTTCCTGTATAAGTCCCAGAAACCACACTGATCGACCAGTCCAAGATCACATATCTATCACTGAAGCTAGGAGTGGAGTCCTTTCAAATTACATAGGCTGAGAGTTAGAGGGGGAGTGGACCCCCAAAGGGAAATCAGGGTGTTACCAAAGGAGGAAAAAAGAGAAGCAAAGCAGGCAAAATTTAAAAAAATATCCACCACACAGACACCTCAGTTCACCCAACTTACAAGTTAAGATGTTTACTCCTGGCTCATACACAGTCTGGCACAATTCATTCAGGAGAGGAGACAGAAAAATAGGGTCACAGCTCTAGGGAGGAATAACATGTGGTCATTGGCCAAAATGTCCTGTGTGCTTTCTGTAAAAGCTTCCTTTAAGCCTCAGGAACCCAAGCAGTTGGGTGGGAATTCTAGAATTTAAGATGTTGGCCATGTCTTTTGTATCAGGAGATAGACCAGCAATTATTCGCCCTCATTATTTTTTAAATTTTTTTTAATGTTTATTCATTTTTTGAGAGAGCGAGAGAGAGGGAGGGGCAGAGAGAGACAGAGAGAGAGAGAGAGGGAGACCCAGAATCCAAAGCAGGCTCCAGGCTCCGAGCTGTCAGCATGGAGCCTGACACAGGGCTCAAACCCACAAACCGTGAGATCATGACCTGAGCTGAAGTCGGACACTTAACAGACTGAGCCACCCAGGCACCCCTATTCACTCTCATTATTAAGACCTATATGGAAACGTATCACTCCTATAATCTATACAATCTAATGTAAGTATCTCAGCCTAGATTTCAACCCCTACCTTCTCTCAATTCTCTCATAAGCCAACCTGACCGGCACCTCCCCATAAAGCACTTATGAATTTTTGGCATAGCATTTTTGTTTAGATTATATCCCACACCTGAAGCACCATCCATTTTTGTCCCATGTAATACTGTCCACCACAAATTTCTAACTCTTTTTCAAAATTCACTTTCTCCTAGAAGTCTTCTCAAGTCATACTCCCACATACACGTTTTACAATCTCTCTTTCTTCCTCATTTTTGCCATTTATATATTCAGCTTAAATTTCCACAACTCTTTAGTTGACTGAAATAGATTCTTACTAATTAAACTTCTGATTAAATTAGGTCAATCACAAGTTCTTTCTTTTGTTGATGTTTTTCCCACTAAATTTATCAATTCATATCCTTAAAAGTAACACTAACAGATAATTTATGAGCGCACAGCACACAATTCCCTCCTGACCTCCATGGAGATCCCCAAGTCCTTCTCCACTGCTCCTCACCTCTCTCTTCACACTGACTCCTCCACTGGACTGTTCAGCACTGTGTCCAGAATGCCTGACACCTGAGTATGTGTAGAATAAATGAAAGAAAGAGTAGTGATCTAGTTGATTTGGCCTGACAACACTACCTAGAGCCCTTTGCAGAGAACTGTTCAATCTAACAACCCACCCTTACTTACATCAATCACTCTGGTTTAGGTATTCTTGGTTTTGATTAGATAAGCCTGGACCACATGCCCAACAATCAAATTTGTATGGAAAATCATGTAAGTGTGGAATCACCTTCCTTCTCTCAGGATGATTGTGCACAAGGCATGCTTCCTACTTTCCCTCACCTTACACCAACCACTCAGTAGTCAAAAAATAGGTATGCATGATGACAAAACCATGGTGATAACAGAAGCCAAATCGAATTGATCTTTCCAGAAATTGCTAATACTGTTGGGATTTGGAGAGGGGTGTGAATTGGGATGA